TTGTAGATTTGGAACATCAAATTCTTCAAGACCTTCCAGTTATTGTGGATTGAAAGGAATGCAGCTCTCCTCACATATGTTAAGAAGAATGCAGCAACTGTTGGTACGTTGTCGAGGTGCATCGTCCTTTTAGACGCCCAAAGGCATTTTCAACCACCAAATCTCTCCTGAATTCTGGTCAGTCGACCATTGTCTGAAAAAGGTTTGAAAACATTTGGCATGGGAGGGTATATCGGATCTGTTAATAATAGCAGAGGAATATGTCCTACATTTGGGGTTTCAGAAAATAAAGTTCCGTTAACAAATCTACTGTAGAGCGTAGAGTTTGCAAAGACTCACACCCAACATTGACACAAAGAAACTTATAATTATGATTAACAACGGCCTGCAGTATAGGTGAGTGAAACTACTCGCGGTTATGGCAGTCACTGTGATTTGTCTGTTACGCAATGTACAATTACTGTCAAGTTTTCTATGAGATCTATGTTGTCCCACGTTAAAACTACAGCATCCAACCAATAAGTGCTCCGTGGGTGAAATAACAGATCGGCAAATTAGGGCGCGATTTTGGCACGAGCCGATTGAGCCCCGATGTTGGTGCAGACTGACGTGAACGCAACTGCTGTAATTTCAGTTTCAAATACAAAGAATTAAAAAATCTCGGCACCTGAAAGTACCAACTGACCCATAGGTCAGAGCAACTGTTGAAATAATATTTTATATTTATAGAAAATACTTCAGAATGAAATCTGATTAAAGTGTATCGGTTCTGTCATTATTTCTTTTCTTTGTATGATAATGATTGATAATTGGTCATATCAATGATCACTGGAACCAGGGTGATGTTTTTTAGTCCCTGCTTAGGCGCAGTCTGAAAACGTGACTAATAATTCTAATTCCATTTCCGATTTCCAGATTGAGACATCCCAGCTATCTTTATATATTAGAACAGTAGGTCTCATATTAAATACACCCCTCATAAATCTATTCACCAGTGGGTGAGCACCTATTATTAACTGTAACTCCGGTATTTCTTAAACTGACATTGCAGTTCTGGCAGTGGTAATGAATGGCACTATAGCTTCAAGTTGTAATCTCCAGTTTTCAAGAAGCGACATGGACGACAGGACTAGTTATCATAGTTTTTGGTACAAAAACACACTTGCCTTTGAATGAACTTATCACATATAGACATTCTCCCAATTTTTTTTTTCAAAGACTCGCAACGCCGGCGTCTGCCATTACT